TCACGAAATTTGGCACGAAAATACTTTAGGAAATAAGTAACTGGAGCATTGAAAATAATTGAACTTTAACGAAGGAAATTCTAGATATTCCAGTGAACCTTCCACAAGGGATAATTACAGATCTCTCTGTTAAATTATTAGCAAAATGGTGTTAACTTGTGAGAATCGGTACAAGCTTGTTGCATGCGAATTATAAAGAGAATCTAATGACTAGATTTTCTACAAATAAACAAAACCAATTTTAAAGGCCTGTTTATATTTATTTATGTTGCCATGGCAACGGCACATACGTCAGCTTAACCATCATAAAACCAAAGTTTATGTTGTTAACTTGCTTGCTGCCATTTTTGGCGACCGAGGGATCAAGAGTTTGAACACATAACCTGTCTCTTAACAACGTTAAGTCAAATGAACCATTTGTTTTGTTCCGCATAGAATTCGAGAGCGAAAAATCAAATTGTTTAATATAAACGTACTAGTCGTTCGAAACTTTATATAAATCCTCTTCACAGACTAGACACCTCCAAAACGCAAAGAAGCGGCGTCATTTTGTTAACAAACACACACTGCCGCGCTAATCACTCTCCAACAGAATAGATACTGAGTTGCGAAGCCAATCAGAGAACGGCATTCGTGATAGAACGTTGGTCGATTTGTACTAAAACTCGATAGAAACATGGTAATGTTTTCTATTTCTTTAATAAAGTTACTGTGTGCTTATGGGTAGATGCGCGAAGCGTTTTCTTCTAGAAACACTGTATCATGCCCTGTTATTTGAGCCTTCTTTTAACTGACGTAGAACAAACAAGAATTTGACTGTACGCTACCTGATGAATGGCATGGGCGAGACAACAGAATAACATCAATAGAGTCCCTAACCCCGAGGTGAAGTTGATGTAATCCTCGGCTCTGCTGACTTTTTCTCAACCTCGTTCCCAGGGTCCTCTCTCTTCTGACCCTGGGAACGAGGTTGCCCTTCTCCTATAATATTCATCCATTCAGACCCAGATGTCATTAGGAGTTTAATATCTTGTCAAACAATTATGCAGAGCCCCGGCTTGCCCAGAAATGTACAAGATAACATAAGATAATAAAGAAAATCATATAATGAATTTGCTGTCAGATTTACTTACTACACAATATCATTAGTAGAGGGTCATAATGGGGTTAACTGTCAAACGTCAAATGGCCAAAACCCTAACATCACCGTCAAAAGCGCAATATTTTTACTGTAAATAGACTTTATTTACATTTTTATTTTTTAGCTTTTTTTACACTTCTTTTTGCACTCTATTTTTATAAAAGTTTTCGCACCCCTTTTCGTGTATATTCCGTCCGCGCGCTTACATTTTTCATTTGTTAAAGGCTATAGACTGATAGCCGAAAGCTTATGTTTTTAATCTTTTTTAACCAGAGAACGTTTTCTCACAATATTTTTACCGTTAACCGTCAAATGAGCAAGCCATTATTAGCCATCAAATGTCTCAGATATCCTTAATTAAGAACTAAACGATTAACTTAAATGAAGTCAAGTTATGCTGTGTATAAACGATCGTTTTAATAAGTATCACAAAAATACATTCATGTTCAAGTCCTTTAACTTCTAGTCTTGTGAGCAGGTGATTAATACTTTCAACGGTAATAAAGAGGACGTAATAATTAACAATTAGACACATAGCTGAAGACCAACTAACCTAATTTTTAATGCATAAATTATAGGACTAATAATACACATGAAAAAATTACTCGATTCTGATTGGCTAAGAGCAGTGCAGTTCAAGTGTAACACCAGTGCAAAAAGTGTAACATCAGTGCAAAA